AAGTTATGCCACTGTTGCGTCCGTGGGTATATCTTGCCCGATAGGTTGATGGTACAGCGCACAGTACCCACAGCTGAGTAACACTGTTGACAACAGTTCTTCCCCAGCACCTTCTGAGCATTGTGCTATGCCAACAGAAACACATTTTAAAAGAAAGGAAAAAAAAAAACTGTCTCATGAACCTGTGTGTCTTGGTTTGGGTTTCTATTGCTGTGAAGAGACACCATGACCACAGCAGCTCTTATAAAGAAAAACATTTCATTGGGGCTGGCTTACAGTTCAAAGGTTTAGTCCATTATCATCATGGTGGGAAGCAGGGCAGCGTGCAGGCAGACATGGTGCTGGTGAGTAGCTTGAGAGTTCTACATCTGGATCCACAGGCAGCTGGAAGAGACTGCCACACTGGTCAGGCTTGAGCATCATGTGTTCTTTTTTTTTGGTTTTTCGAGACAGGATTTCTCTGTGTAGCTTTGCGTCTCTCTGTAGACCAGGCTGGCCTTGAACTCACAAAGATCCACGTGCCTCTGCTTCCCAAGTGCTGGGATTAAAGGCGTGTGCCAACACGTGCAGCTGCATCTAAGACATCAAAGCCCACCCCCAGTGACATACTTCATCCAACAATGTCACACCTACTCCAATAAAGCTCCCTATGGGCCTATGGGGACCATTTTTATTCAAACCACCACACCATGCTCAACAGAACTCAATTCACTACGAGTTTAAGGTTGAGGAAAACCTTAACTTCTGATAGTCCTGCTTTCATGCCCTGAGTGCTGGAACTACAGATATATATTTTTTGTTTTTGTAGTGCTGAAGATTGAACCCAGGGCTTTGTTGGGGGTTTTTTTGTTTTTGTTTTGATATGTTTGGTTTTTCAAGACAGGGTTTCTCTGTGTAGCCTTTGCTGTCCTGAAACTTGCTCTGTAGACCAGGCTGGCCTCAAACCAACAGATCCTCCTGCCTCCACCTCTCAAGTGCTGGGATTATAGGCGTATGCCACAGGCTGCAGAATTTGAATCAGTGTCTCCTGACTGAAGCTGGCGTGCTGGTGTATAGTCACACAGCTGACTCACCTTGCCTCACCCTTACACCCTGGAGTGACATCATCTCCAACCCAGAGTCGACTTCAGTTAGACTGTAGCCGACATTCCCTTTCCATCCCTAGACGGGAGAACCTTTCCAGGGAAGGCGTGAGGAGGACGTCTGCCATGGCTTCCCGTTCATTTCTCTGCTCTGTTTTTAGAACCCTGGTTCTTTTTTTTTGCAGGGGAGTGGGGGGGGTGATTTTTTGTTTTTGAGACAGGGTTTCTCTCTGTAGCTTTGGAGCTTGTCCAGGAAACTCACTCTGTAGACCAGGCTGGCCTCGAACTCAGAGATCCGCCTGGCTCTGCCCCTCGGAATGCTGGAATTAAAGGTGTGCACCACCACCGCCAGGCTCTTCTCTCCCTTTCTAAATCAGTATGTAGCCAGGAATGACATTGGTCTCCTAATTCTCCTGCCTCCACCTTCCAAGTACTGGAGTGAAAAGCAGGTGCCACCACATCCAAATATGTGAGACTTCCACAGTTTAAAGGAGCCCTAAGAGCTGAGCATGGTGTCAGACACCTTTAATCCCATCACTTGGGACGCAGAGGCAAGTGGACCACTATGATTTTGAGGATAGCCTGGTCTACATACAGAGTTCCAGGACAGGCAGACTACATAGTATGTAGTTGAGTCTCTCCTTCCCACCAATTCCCAAATAACCACTCTGAGGCTTATATTAATTGTAAATACTCAGCTTATTACTAAACTAGCTCTCCCATTTTAAGTTAACCCATATTCCTTATTTTTGCTCTGCCACGTGGTGGTACCTTTATTAGTATGGCACATTCATCTCCTGCTCCCTCTGTGTCTGACTGACTCTGCCCTTTT